TACAAGCGGTTTGGCCTGTACTCTGCCAAACCTCAGAGGCAGCTAAAATTGCCTACAAAACACAGGCTGACAGAGGTCGGGTGGTGGGTTGGGATCTGCAGCCTGGTGATTTCGTGTATGTGTCAACTAAGAATATGAAAGTGCTTAGGCCTTGTAAAAAGTTGAGTTGGAAGTACATTGGGCCTTTCCCTGTTCGTAAGAAGATCAATGACGTCACCGTTGAACTTGACCTCCCTAAGAATCTGAAATCCCTGCATCCGGTATTCCATATGAGCCTCCTGAAAAAGGTTTCAGTTACTTCTAAGTGGAGGCCCATGCAGGTGGCCCCACCTCCCGTCCTGGTGGAGGGTGAGGAACATTTTGAAATTGCAGACATCCTTGATTGTAAACTGAAACGTGGTAAACGGGTTTATCTTATTGAATGGGTAGACTTCGGACCCCAGCACCGGGAATGGGTGGAAGAAGGGGATATTCGGGCCCCTTACATGCTCAGACAGTTTCACGAAAAGTTCCCGGACAAACCGGGGGATCTCCCGCCCAATCCGGGAGACGGTGGGTAATGTGTATTTTCAGGTGGGCAGTATGTCAGCGAGCTGCCATAAGGTGTTGTGCTACTCAGTGTATATTGCCCCATGCTCTGTCCATCCTCCACTCGCTTTCCCTCAGTAGGTGTTTACTGTCTTCTCTTGCTACAACGGCGCAACTGCTCAAGGTCGACCAGCTGGTGGTAGGGAGGTGTTATGGCATAGCTTCGCTTATCATGTATCCTCTGCCTGAGAACTGGACTCATGTTTATGGTTTAGAACCGTTGCGTTCCCAAGGATTTTGGCGCTCATTTTCTCTTCCATCCCGCCAGCGGGAAATTGGCTCATTGGTTCTAACAGGGTTCAAGTTCCTTTATTATGTGTGCCTATGAGACTTGTAGTCATTACTAACAATGCTTTTGTTCCTGATATAACCACTGCTTCATAATAAATTCGACTTTGTTCATCAACCGTGGATTTATTTCGAATGCTTGGGGAATCGGACACCTAGATGACCTCACAAGGGTCTAATTTGCTCCATGGAAAACACGCAGGTCTTAATTTATTTCAAATACAGGTCCTGATAGATGACTTCAGATTTCTTTCAAGCACAATCATTTGGGCCTTTTAAAAGAAAAGGCGGGGAATTTTTTTTGATGGGGCCCCACTTTCTAATTGAGTGTACTCGTCAACCCAGGAAAGGAGGATTCTGGGGGATTCTGGGGGATTTTGTCACCAGTCATGTCCCTGGATTAGGTTTTATGCCGCATATAATTTCTTAGCTGTATGTTATGAATCCTATTTCTTAACCACAGATTCAGAAACTCCTTTCAGTTTATTGAGTAGCTGCTGCAATCTTAAACCTTTTGTTGTTGTTCAGTCGCACAGTTGAGTCCGGTCCAGCTCTCGCAGCCATACATGACTACTGGGAATACCATTGCTTTGACCATGCGGACTTTTGTTGGCAGGGTGATGTCTCTACTTTTTATCATGCTGTTTAGGTTCGCCATCGCTTTCCTCCCAAGGAGCAGGCGTCTTTTAATTTCATGGCTGCAGTCACAGTCTGCGGTGATCTGGGATCCCAGGAACGTGAAGTCTGTCACTACTTCCACAGCTTCCCCTTCTATTTGCCAAGGAGTGATGGGGCCGGATGCCATGATCTTAGTTTTTTTGATGTTGAGCTTCAAGCCCACTTTTGCGCTCTCCTCTTTTACTCTGAGCAAGAGGTTCTTTAGATCCTCTTCACTTTCAGCCATTAGAGTGGTATCATCTGCATATCTGAGGTTGTTGATCTTTTCCCCAGCAATCTTGATTCCCGCTTGTGATTCATCCAGGATGATTTTGCATGATGTACTCTGCATATATATTAAATAAGCAAGGTGACAGTATACATCCTTGTCGTACTCCTTTTCCTATGCTGAACCAATCAGTTGTTCCATATCCGGTTCTAACTGTTGCTTCTTGGCCCTTATACAGGTTTCTCAAGAGACATGTGAGGTGGTCTGGTACTCCCATCTCTTTAAGGACCTGCCATAGTTTGTTGTGATCCACACAGTCAAAGGCTTTAGCATAGTCAATGAAGCAGAAGTAGATGTTTTTCTGGTACTCTCTTGCTTTCTCCATAATCCAGCGAATGTTGGCAATATGATCTCTCGTTCCTCTACCTCTTCGAAACCCAGCTTGTACTTCTGGCAGTTCTCTATCCATGTACTGTTGAAGCCTAGCTTGTAGGATCTTGAGCATGACCTTGCTAGCGTGTGATATGAGTGCAATTGTGCGATAGTTTGAACATTCTTTGGCATTGCCCTTCTTTGGGATTGGAATGTATACTGATCTTTTCCAATCCTGTGGCCACTGTTGCGTTTTCCAAATTTGCTGGCAAATTGAGTGCAGCACTTTAACAGCATCATCTTTTAAGACTTTGAATAGCTCAGCTGGGATACCATCACCTCCACTAGCTTTGTTGTTAGTAATGCTTTCTAAGGCCCATTTAACTTCACATTCCAGGATGTCTGGCTCGAGATCAGTGATTATACCCTCGTGGTTGTCAAGGACATCGAGGTCTTTCTTGTATAGTTCTTCTGTGTATTCTTGCCATCTTTTCCTAATCTCTTCTGCTTCTGTAAGGTCCCTACTGTTTTTATCCTTTATCATGTCCAGCTTTGCTTGGAACACTCCCTTGATTTCTCCAATTTTCTTGAAGAGATCTCTAGTCCTTCCCATTCTGTTGTTTTTGTTAAGTCGCTCGCTTAACAAAGCAGTCGGAGAGTGATTCAGCCAGAACACAGCTTTATTCTTCAACTCGAACACAACTCCAACACGGATCAACATCTGATAGCCAGAACAACACGGTTCAGCTTTTACATTGCAGTTGTCCTGCTTTTAAACATTCCCAACTAATGTAGCCACGCCCACTGTACACATACCAACCAATAAGATTGTTCACATAAGGACCAATCACGGCCGTTCCCGCTCAGGGAGTTTGCTGCAAAGTGATTGGCTTGTTACTTCCTGGGCTAGCAATACCATTGGATGTATTTGGATCCTAGCCCAGGATGAAGCTTAACATTACTAGTCAATGAGATGTTTCACATACATCATGCATTCAAGGCAGCTTTGAATACACTACAGTTTTCCTCTATTACTTTGCATTGTTCATTCAGGAAGGCCTTCTTATCTCTCCTTTATATGATTAGGATTTACACAGCCATATTTAGAATGGTCTCCGGTGCTTAGCATGTTTTCATCTCTTTTTAAACTCTTGGAGATCTGGCTTCATTCTTTTGTCAGTGGATGGCCAGTCTCCAGAGAGCCAGTGAGTTGTAATTAAAAAGAATAAGAGCTGGATTTATACCCCGCCCTTCACTCAGAGTCTCAGAGCAGCTTACAATCTCCTTCCCTTCCTCTCCTCACAATAGACACCCTGTGAGGTAGGTGGGGCTAAGGGAGCTCTGAGAGAACAGCTCTGAGAGAAGGTCACCCAGCTGGCTTCACGTGGAGGGGGAGTGGGGGAATCAAACCCTGTTCTCCAGATTAGAGTCCACCACACTGGGTCTCTGAGTTAGAGTGTCGGTCTAGGACCAGGAGACCCATGTTCAAATCCTCAGTCAGCCTTGAAGTTCACTGGGAGACCTTGGGCCAATCACTCTCCCCCTCTTTCAGCTGTGCCCACCTCACAGGTAGGGTTGCCAGCTCCAGGTTGGGAAATACCTGGAGATTTGGGGGTGGAGCCTGAGGAGGGCAGGGTTTGGGGAGGGGAGGGACTTAAATGGAGTATAATACCATAGAGTCCACCTTCCAAAGAGGCCCTTTTCTATCCAGATGAGCTAATAGATTTTTCAGCAAATTTGGGGCACTCCCCAGGTTTGTAGAAAAACCTGAAAATTAAAACATATATACGGGTGTTTAAACCCCCTCCCCAAAGTAAAGTAGCATTCTCTGTGAAAGTGCAAAAACACTATTTCCTTCTTACTTCAGTGGTGTGGTGGAGCCTGGGAGCCGTGGTGACAGCCACAGGAGTGGCAAAGCATCCCAGGGGCTGCATTGGGCAGTGGCTGCCAGAGAACCCAGGGGCAGCAGCAGCAGCCATGAAGCAGCCCGGGAGCTGCACCAGGCCTGGTAGTGGCCGTCAGAAAGCCACTCTAGGCTCAGCGAGAGAGTGGAGGGGGGGTCCATGTGTTTCAGGGGGCCCCACTTGTCTGTTCCATAGTTAGCTCAGAATGAGGTTGGGAAACATGTAAGGAATTAAGTTCTCCTGGATCCCTGGGAAGAGTGGGGGGAATGAAGTGGGGCGGGGGGGTGGGGTCTGCAGTGGGAGACTAACAAGATAGCATCAAATGGAATCTCCTGCCTTCCCTACCTCCAAAATTCATGAAAGAGTCACTCTTGTTCAGCTTTTTCTATATGCTTCTTTTCTATTTTTTTAATTACAGTTTGCTCTTGATAGCTGTTGCCTGGTTTACCCTCTTCTTTCGGCTCTGGATCTATTGGGAGGTTATGATAGTCTGTTGTTTAGAGCTGTCCTGTGTTTTGTGAAATAAACTGATATTGCCAACATGATCCCACTACGGAAATTGTCATCCAGGCAGCCAAACCAAATGGAATGATCGATTTTCGCTAACAGTGGGGATAGAGCTCAGAAACGCTCAATACGACCTAGATGCTGCTGTGCCAAAAACTTTTAATCTCAGTATGCACCTGCAGATGGCACAAGAATCTGGTTCCTATAAGTCTTAATTTTAGTTGTGTGCATATGTGTATGTACATGAGATTTATACCGTCAGAGCAGGGCTGTGTCACTGAAGCCAAACTCCTGGATATTCTTCTATAAATCACAGTGGCTGCAGCCAGTGGCTGGCTATGGCCACCAGAAGAGAAAATGATCCCTTGGGTCCTTGTTTCAGATCATGTCTCTGTTGGCTGTTGGCCCTACTGATTGACTGTCTGTGAATACATTGTTGCTTGGTTCCTCTACAGATGACGATGAATGTGAACAGAATAATGGAGGCTGCAGTGAGTTCTGCATAAACCTAAAAAATTCCTATCGTTGTGAATGTGGAATTGGACGTGTTCTGGGGAGTGACGGAAAGACCTGTGAGGGTGAGTAAGGAAAATTGATTTACGATCACTGCGAAAAGTAACACATCTGATTTGCTTGTCGATTCTAACCAATAGAGAGCCAATATGGCATAGTGATGAGAGTGTCGGGGTTGGATGGGAAATCCCAGGCTCAAGTTCCAGCATAAAGTTTATTGGGTGACTTTGGACCAGTCATGTTCTCTTTAGCCTATGCTGTCTCACAGAGGTTGTAGGTTGGTCCAAAATATGCATGTGCGCGCACGCACCCCCCCCCCCAGCCATATACTTTTAATTAGGACTGACCAAAAGATCACAAATCAATGTGCAAGCTTGTGAGTTCTTCAGAACTCTTCATCAGGCTGAATGTTAGCTCCCCCCTCCCCCCCCGGGGGGGGATCTTGATTGGTTTCAGGCCCTGATCTTAAGGCTGTTTGCTCAAGTCTGGTGTCAAATGCCAACATATTTGAATGCATAAAATGGTGCTGGGTGGACCTGATCTCAGGTTGCATCTTTGATCTTTTGGGGTGGTTTAATTTGTTTACAGAATTTGGTACAGAAAGGGGGGGGGCAAGATAACTTACAACCAACCCGAATACAAAAAAGCTTAAAAGGTTGTGGGGAAAGGTATGAAAAACAAGCTTGCTGTTCATACAACCAATACTTTTTTGGATAGCCGGATACACACACACATATATTCACATTCATACATATGTACACTCATGTTTTCTCCTCAACCTTTTGGCTTTTCTTGTTTGTTTGTTTGTTTGTTTGTTTTTGGGTTTATATCCCGCCCTCCCCGAAGGCTCAGGGCGGCTAACAACGAGGCACAAGTGCCAGAATTAAAACAGATATCTGTTGGCATTTGTTCAGTCCAGTGACAGCCCTACTAGTTTTCTACATAATCAGGGCAAGGGTTTTACAGACGAACATTTGCCTTGCAAATTTATTCTTTCCCAAGGCTCTTGGCTAAACTGTCAAACAATAACACTTCAGTGTTGTCTAGATCAAGCTTCAGTTTACTGGCCCTGGTCCACTTTATTACTGCTTCCAGGCTTGAATTCAGAATATCTTCCATCTCACCCAAGTCTCATGATAAGGAGAAAAGCCACCGTGGTGTTGTGGTTAGAGTGTCAGACTAGGTCCTGGGAGGCCCAGGTTCAGATCCCTTGGTGTTATCCACATACTCTCCCAGCAGTTGCATGTAGATATTAAACAGTATAAGAGGGAGACAAGGTGGAACCCTGTGAGATTCTCAGGCACACATGATGAGGAATCAAGCAGTTCTCCCTTTAGCTTCGCCTTTTGGTACTGTTCAGCTAGACAGGAGTGGTGCGTAGTGCCACAACAACAATTTGGCCAACCATCCCAGAGGGATTTTATGCTCAATAGTACTGAAAGAAGCTAAGAAGTCCAGGGAAATCAATGGGATTTTACTTCCCTTTTCTGATTCCCAACGAAGGTCATCCATCACAATGACCAATGGGTCAGATAACATGCCTTGTCCAAAAAGGGGGTGTATGCCTCCAGAAAACAGTTCTTCAAATCATTCAGTCCTTGGACACCAACATTCAGGAAGAGTTTCACAACTGCCTTCTTCAAGATGGTTGACACTACTCTCTTTTAATAAAGCAATCTCTAGACTCTGGATCTACCTGGGTAATCCTGTTCAGCAGGATATAACAAGCCAAGAGTCAAGCACAACTTTCCAAATCCTTGGCATGTGACAACTAAAACTCATCTAAGTGAAAGCAACTAGTCTGAAAACACTGAATCACAGAGTTACAATCAGGTTACAAGCAATTTATTCAGCAAAAGACTGAACAAACAAGTTCCACTGGTGGACCTCCTGATGGCACTGGTATTTCTGGCCACTGTGTGATACAGAGTGTTGGACTGGATGGGCCTTTGGCCTGATCCAACATTGGTGTCTCTTATGTTCTTCAGTTCAAGCAAGCCTCTGCGTTTTCTCCCTTAACAGGGGCTTGATGGGGAAGTCCCCTCACAACTTAAAGAAGTTCAGTTGTGTGTCATTTTCTTGACACAGTATTGGTGGAGAGCTTGGTTTTCCTCCATGTGTGCTTAACCCATATGTCAATGGACTGCCATAACCAATCAAGGCAGTCCTTTATAAATGAATAGATACACATGCCCATCCCATCCACCTAGGGTTGCCAAATAGTTTTCACTCACCGGCGGGGGAGGCTCCGTCCCGTCCGCCCCCCGACGAGCTCAGCCACGCCCCCAACGTCAGCAACGTGGCTGCGTCACCTCTGGTGACGCAGCTTCGGGGGCGGGGTTCCCCCGGGCCCCGATTCCGCCAGGGAGGGAATCGGGGGCTCCGAAGCGGGGGGTTACCCGCCCCCCGGGCACATTTGGCAAGCCTACATCCACCTCAGGCAGAAATACTTCGAGGCCTACTTTATATAGTATTGACTTGGCACTTCTTTTTCCAAGTTTCTGCTCTTTTTGGGAAAGGGCTGGTTTCAATTCTGATCATTTTGTTTTATTAGGAAGAGTAATTGTTCCCTTTTCTGCAAATGGGAAGGTTATATGTGCTATATAGATGTGTTTGAAGGCCTGAGGTAATAGGTGACATTTTTCATGGGAATAATGCTTTCTAGGGAATTTATTAAGCAATATGTAATCGAGTTGGTTGGTTTCATGTTTATTGATATGTCATGGGGTTTATGAAGCACTTCAGAAAAGAAGTAATTCACTTTGTGGCGTCCCCAATACCCAGTGCATAACCACAAAATCTTAGGGAATGGTAATGGGATTGAATCATTATAATCTCAAAAAAGTGGAATGTTCAAGCGTAGCACATGATCACCAGTTCAAAACTCATTTGAGTCAATGAGAGATCATCCATCTAAAATACTGGGGTATTTGAAAATCTTCTCTGGACATTCTTTGTGCTTTTCAATATATATAGAGACCACAAATTCTTTCAGTTCAACTGATTCTGAAGTAGAGGCATTAACATCAGGGTTGCCTCACAGGTACTAGGTTCTCCATGACCTTATTTTTGTGTATATAAAATACTGAAACTTGGAAGGTAAAGTGTGCCATTGAGTCACAATCAACTTATGGAGACCCCATAAGACATGAGTAGGGTTGGTTTGCCATTGCCCTCCTCTGCATAGGCAGCCTCATCTTCCTTGGTGGCTGCCCATCCAAGTACTGACCCTGCTTAGCCTCCGAGCTCTGATAAGATCTGGCTCATCAGGTCTATTAAGGCTGTTGTTAAAACTTACAGAGACATTTTAAAGGAGGTCCAAATCAGTGTTCCCTCTAAGCTGAGTTAGTGTGAGCTAGCTCACACTAACTCAGCTTAGAGGGAACATTGGTCCAAATCATACCTTACAAAGTCCACATGGCAGACATGCAGACTTACAAGTAAATGTGTTCTTGGCGTTCATTGCTTTGAACATAACTCTCAGATATGCACAGACCCAATTCATATCGCTACCACAGTGCACCCCTCCCCCTATGCCATTTTCCCAATCTGAAACAACTTGAGGATCCATTATTTGCCATGCTGGGGAAACTTAAAGGTCATCCATCAGCACATATAGGTTTCTCCAACAAAGCAAACAGTAGCTCCTTGGGGGCATTTCATGTTAGGAAAACAATGTGATGAAAAGGCTTAAGCTTCCCTTCATATGCCACACATGACTTGGACCCACCAACACCCTGGGAATTAGTTCTGAGCAGATAACTCTCACACATCTAGATATCACTCCACATTTTTGCCATGCAGACTTTGTAGCATGTGAATTGGTCCTGAATAACTCAGCAACAGTTGTCTGAGTGATGGCCCAGGCTAGCCTGATCTCTTCAGATCTCAAAAGCTAAGCCGGGTTGGCCCTGCTTAGTATTTGGCTGGGAGACCACCAAGGAAGCCCAGGGTTGTTAAGCAGAGCCAGGCAGTGACAAATCACCTCTGTTCACCTCTTGCCTTGAAACCCCTATGGGGTTGCCATAAGTTGGGTGCAACTAGGTGGCACTTTCCACCACAACAGATCTGAATTTAGAAACACATTTGCCATATCCACACCTGACATTTGTGGTGTACCTGTATGCTATTTTAACTGTACACTTGAAAATAACTTCTAAAGCATCTCCACATTTCCAATATTTTGCAACTGAAGGCTTTTGGAGGTATTACTTCAATATCTCACACAGTGTTTGTTCTTCCTCACTGTTATAATGGGAAGATCTCATGTACAAACCACTGTGAAATAATGGAAGTAGCAGAAGAGTACTGACTCATTGACTACCATGCTCTTGCACTCATTTCCTTGCACAGAATTTTCCCCATGATGATTACAAAATAATGTCAAATTTACACCGATCTGTACTTGCATATACACAGCAATTGCTATTAAGTCAATATCCCCTTCTGGCTGTGTGTGTTTGTGTGTGTGTGTCTGATCATTCTTTCTGTCCTAGAAATCGATGGATGTCACAATAATAATGGAGGCTGCAGTCATACTTGTAGCACAGTGGGAAACACCTACCAATGTGAGTGCCCACGGGGTCTCGTGTTGTCAGATGACAACCACATGTGCCAAGGTAAGATAAATCAGGATCTGTAAGGGCAAGCGGTACCTCACAATGTGTCTAGGATAATATAGCTGTGGCGCAAATGGACTTTTTGTTTCCCCACCTCATAACAATTGGGATACGTTTTAGAGAAGACCCTAATGAAAGGTGAGGGTACCAAAATCTGACATTGATTCACTGACTAATCCATTTCAGCCCTGGAAATTGGGGGAGACGTTGGCTGGGTTTTGTCTACATTTCCTCCTCCCATTTTCTTAGCTGCATGCTCATGCCATAGTTCCTTTCCCTCATCCAGCTCTTCCCCTTCTACATCATGATATCCCTGGGAAACACGTTTCACTCTAATCTAAGCTGCCATTTTGATAGACAGCCTTATTATCCCACGTTCCCCTACCACTTCAAAATGGCTGCTTGTGAAAATCTGCTAGAATTGGTGAGTCCATTCTAAGCAGTTCCTTTTGCAAGGCTCATGTCTGAGGCAAATGTCCCATATGGGTGGATTAGCCCTGTGGTCACGACTGTTTCAGGAGCATACAGAAGAATGAAGAGAGATTCTGTGGGAGAGCAGCATCTGAAAGAAGCAGCCATTCTTTATTATTAACACAAATAAACATTATGGCTGTCTACAGTAGTCTTATGCAGCCACAGAGTGCAGTCCCTGCCTCCCACTAAATAAACACAACTTTTTGAATTAATTCTAATTACGTGCGTATTAACAGTGCTGGCAGATTGCATGTATCACATTAATGCTTCTGCTCCATACACTCACTATAAAGTAGTCATAAATATTCTCTCTCTTCTGCAGCATTCAGGCTATCACACGGAGTGATCAGCTTCCTCTCAGGAATGGCATACGTTTTAGAAGACACTCTACAATGTGATAATTTCTGTGATAGCAGATATCTCATTGGAGACTGAAAGATGCACAAAGGCTTTCCTATTAGTTAGTAATTTCCTGAAAAGCAAATGTGGAAAATAGAGGCGGTGGGGAATGGAAACACAGCTGGTGGCAGGGAGTGAGTCTGTCTGGGATAGGAGAACACTGAAGGACATTTTGAAAGTTAACATGATGAAAGAGGCGAGAGAGAGAGAGAGAATCCAAAGCAGATCTGAGTCAGAGTGGGCAACCCTAGGGTTCCCACCTGGTAGGCTGGCCCTGTGGGTGGGTGGGGGATGTCATGTCACCTCTGAGCCATGCTTACCATCCCTTGTAGGGAGTTGCAGTGGAACTCTATCTGCACTGTCTGCTGGGACTGCTCCATGGGCCTGTGATCCTACAAGGCAATAGGCATGAAGGGCATTTGGCAGAGTAAAGCAGATTGGAGTGGAACGGCAGGTAGTTATTCCACCCCATTGTTGTGCTACTGGTGTCCCCTATATACAGGGGAGGGGGGGTTACTCCAGCATAACATCATACTGGCCATACTGCTAACTCCCAGTTCCCTTTCTGCACTGTACATACCTACTAGTAGTAGCTACTGGTGCTGGAGTTTGGGTTGTAGGGACAATATACAGAAGAGGTATATGTAGTATCCTCTGGGGTCTAGTGTGTAGGATTAGAAACATAAGGACATCAGAGAAGCCATGGTGGATAAGGCCAATGGTCCATCCAGTCCAACACTCTGTCGCACAGTGGCCTAGCCCTGACCTGGATAGCCCAGGCTAGCCCAACCCCGTCAGATCTCAGAAGCTAAGCAGGGCTGGCCTTGGCTAGTATTTGGAAGGGCGACCTCCAAGGAAAAGCGGAGTCGTGATGCAGAGTCAGACCTCTTGCCATAAAAATAAGTCTAGTTCATCACCTAGTGGTGCATAATTCTAATAGAACTAGAATTTCTGGCTGCCAGGCAATCTTAGAATCTTCTCGCTGTTCTATACGTAATGCCATATGGTAAATATTAATTATTACACAGGGGCCAAAACCCAGGTGCCATCAGGAGGTCCACCAATGGGGCCAGAACTCCAGAAGCCCTCCCAATTGTTGCCCCCCAAGCACCAAAAATACAGAGCATCACTGCCCCAGGCATAATGTTCCACTATTAAGCTAGGGGTCCCCAATGTGGCATCTGTGGGCACATTTCTTGGTGTCCACCAAGTGCTTTTAGAAAGTAGACAGGGCTAGGTGGGGCTTTTGCCCAGCAGGGGTTCTGATTGGCTGGGTAGATTAAAAGACAAACAGTGCTTGTGCCCCAAATGAGGAAGAGATGCTATTAGACCTCGCTCCCTGACAATTTGTGGTTGGCTCCACCTACTGTGGCAGCCATTTTGTGATAGTGCCCACCGCCCTGTATCAGAATTCCAAAGGTGCCCACTGGGTCAAAAAGGTTGGGGACCCCTGGATTAAGCTTACCTATCCAGTTAACATGCAGGAGAGTCTGTCAGTTTCTGCTACAGGCTTCTTTATTGCATCACACATACTTGGAACTACAACCTACACATACAGAACTAGAACTAGGTGAGGTAGGGTTGCCAGACCCCCCCCCCCAGTGGAGGCGGGGGTCCCCCGCTGCCAGGCCCTGCCCCCCAGCCACCGATCAGCTGGCTGGCAGGAGGACTTACTAGTAGAAAGAAGATGGCCTAGGCCATGTAGTTGGCATTGCACAGGAAGTTACAACATCACTCCAGTGACTTCTGGGTGACATTCTGGTATTTGGGCAAAAACTATATGGTATAAGCTGGTTTTACCATAGAGTTTTTTCCCAAGTACCAGAGCATTGCCTGGAAGTCCGTGACATGATGGGGTCACTTCCTGTGTGATGCTGGTGACATGGCCTAGGCCTTCTTCTTTCTGCTGGTAAGTCCCCCTATCTCCTGCCGCGGTTGCCAGGAAGGACCTGGCAACTCTAAGGTGAGGCCCTCCCATACAGGCCTAGATGGGGGGAACAACTAGTCTATGAGGGCTCACTTAAGGACAGGGAGAGGATTCAACATAGTATTGCCAGGTACACCCTGGCCACTAATGGAGAAGGGGTCGTAGGGTTGCCAGATCCAGGGGAACTCCTGGAGATTTGGGGACAGAGACTGGGGAGGACAGGGATTCAGTTGGGTACAATGCCATTGAGTCCATCTTCCAAAGCATCCATTGTCTCCAGGAGAACTGCTCTCTGTCGTCTGGAGATGAGCTGTGATTGCAGGGGATCCCCAGGTCCCACCTGGAGGTTGGCATCCCTATTTCAACACCCCTCATTTGTCTGCTGCCTCCTTTGCTTGTCACACACAACTCTGCTGTCACATGTAGGTTGGCCCTCAGTTGTGTGAGGATGCATGGGAGAAGAAGCCAATGGAAGAATTGTTGTTGTTGTTCAGTCGCACAGTCGAGTCCGACTCTTCGTGACCCCATGGACCAGATCTCACCAGGCCCTCCTGTCTTCTGCCGTCCTCTGGAGTTTGCTTAATTTCATGTTCGTTGCATCGATGACACTGTCTAACCATCTCATCCTTTGCCGTCCCCGTCTTCTTTGATCTTCAGTCTTTCCCAGCATCAGGGTCTTCTCCAGTGAGTGCTCCCTTCTCATTTGGTGGCCAAAGTATTTGAGCTTCAGTTTCATTATCTGGCCTTCCAGGGAACAGTCAGGGTTGATTTCTTTTAGGATGGACTGATTTGATCTTCTTGCAGTCCAAGGGACTCTCAAGAGCTTTCTCCAGCACCATAGTTCAAAAGAATCTATTCTTCGGCGCTCGGCCTTCCTTACAGTCCAACTCTCGCAGCCATACATGACTACTGGGAATACCATTGCTTTGACCATGCAGACTTTTGTTGGCAGCGTGATGTCTCTACTTGTTGTTGTTGTTGTTGTTGTTAATAATAATAATAATAATAATAATATAAACAGCATAATAATGGAAGAATTAGATCATTATTTTGTTTTTGTTTTTTCCTTTTGAAATTTGCTTGTGAATTAAGAGGAATCACATATTTCCCATGGCTGCTTGTTTGATTAAGGCGAGACAGCCAGGCCCAAACCAGGAGATATTAAGGATATTAAGGTTGGGGGAGGGGGTATTATATACCACCATGTTGTTTTCTTTCCAGAACTATTCCCAAGAGTAGGCAGATAGATTTTTAAAGAATTTAAACTTGAACAGTAACATGATATATTCAAGAGAAAAGAAAATTATGACCAAACTGACATATTTTTCCCAGATTCCAGAGTCCAATTCATTCAGTCAGAAGCAGCACCTGTTTTCTTAATTACATATAACCTCATGAGAGGAATTGTAAATGTTTCCTTGTTAACAGAATACCTAAATCTATACCTTTCTCCACTTAAAATGGTTTACAGACTGTCTGTCCTTCCCACTTGAAAATTATGTGTAAGTCAGAGCTGTGTTTCAGAAAAGTCCCTAAATATGACTTTTAATGCTGCTCTTTTTCATTGAAATGTGTCTCCACTGAATAGTCATGGTGGCAAAGAATCTCATTAATTGAATTCAAATGGGTAAATATGACAAGTCTATGCGGTGAATTTTTCTACTGACATCTCTGTAGTGGCCTGTTTGAATTGGGAATTTTTTCCACCCCAGGTCAGCAGTTCTCATACACTAGCACCCCAGGGGTCATTTCAGAGAAAAAGAGGTGCAGGAGCTCATTAGCATAACTCATTAGTATAACTTATTTGCATATGCCACACCCCCGACATCACTGAAAGTATGTCAGAAGGCAACACCCACCGCTCAGGCTCCACTGGACTGTTTTGGATTGCTAGCTATGGGGGGGGGGGGCAGATATGTCCTTGCAGATGAGGGAGAGCTTGTACCTGAATAAAACTTGGTCTTAAAGGTGCCACTGAGCTGTTTTGGGCCAGGGGGACGGGGGGGGGGGGCGCTGAACAACTTACCTGGCTGCTTCTTGCTCTGACTGAAGGCTGCTTGTTGCATGTGCCCGCCCCCTGGGCTCTTTACTGCCGGAGCTCCGCTCCTGCCGGAGCTCCTGCAGGAAATGACCCCTGGCGGATCCCTATTTTGATTTTAACATTTTCAGTGTATAGGAAGCCACACAGACCTCTGTCTATTAATATCACCAAAACAAAAGAGTCAGAACTACATCAGCTCAATTTTAAAAGCAAATATAAATAAAAGGTTTGTGTTATGTGCACATGGTCTCCAAGGTCAGGTATAAGAGGATTGCTGATTCTGTCGGGCTGCAACTCAGAGGGCCCTGACCCAAGTTCTAACCAATATTACTCCTTGATTGGCAGAGACATGTCACTGTCGATAGCAAGAAACCTCCTAATTGGTTATTAACTTCAGCTTGAGGCCAGCTGAATCAGAATGGGGAGATGCCAAATCAGCATCACACAAATCTTGAACTTCAGATATACCATAGAGAATCACTATTGGCTGTTATGGTCAATGGATCAGTGACCATTCCCTTCCCTAGTGAAATCTTTTGCAGGAGAACATTGAGTGACAACCTGTTCAGTTTTACATCTAAAGTAACCATGATGACTGTATTAGGACAGCATTACCTTGGTGCCAACTGGAGTTTCTAATGCTGAGCTGGTTGGATCCCAGCAACTAATCGGCACATTTTCTGGCTAATGCTCTGAAGTGATCCGGAACCTAGGTGGCTGTGGATGACAGCAGTTCTGGGAACTTCTGCCTTTCTACAGGGAGAGAAAACCATTCTGTACTTTCAGAGCGTAGTCCCTGTCCCACCCCCCAATTCCTAAAGAACTGAGAGGACTCCATTTTAAAATTTAAAAAAATTAAAGTTGAGATTGTAGTAAATAAAAATAAATTACTTTAATTTAAACGTATTGATTGTATATCCTACCACTCCATGCATGAAATGCAGATGTTTCTTGCATTCCACTCTTTTCCTGCTGCCCCTCAGCCCCCGAAAGATCATTCTCAAGATGATGGGACCTGCAAGGAGGAATACAAATACAGCCACACCTGCTAAGGAAAGGGCTTGAATTCAAACCCTTTCCCCTCCTTAGTCCAGCATACTGAATACCCACACCCACATCCAAGCCCTATTTCTGTATTTTTTCCCATGTGGAAGGCCATGGGTTTGCCTCTGTTGCAAAGCAGTGCAAACTGCACTCCCCGTGTTAATTATTTTCGCAGTCGCCCCAGATTTCTATCTTCAGGTTGCTCCATGCCCTTCTAGGTTCAATAGCATTGCCAATATCGTGCTAACTTTCCAGAGAATGTGAAGGACTCACACGAGAGACGATCTTTGAGGGAGAAGAATAGTTCTGCCGCTGCATGATTTTTTTTTATCCCCCCTCTCCCCCCCCCCCCCGGTGAGGTGAGGCTGTGGCTTACATGTACAGAAACAGGGGAAAACAGATACTTAGGCAGAATGCTTAGAATGCTTGCACAGTATCTTAAGACTTGCTTGCAGTTTCAGGATGTGCAAAGGTCAAGACTCTTAGTGTACCAGAGTCACTGATCAACCTGATGTTGACAGTCTGGATGTGGCCAGAATCAGGACAGGTGTGCCATATTGCTGATCCTCATCCACAAGAATGGCGGCCATGGGTGGAGCCTTCCCATCTGGAAAAGTCCTTGGTTTGAAGCAGTTTGGGATTTTAGAAAGCTCCAACACTATGAATCATCATTGTAAAGGAATGCTAATGCAGCTGCTGGATCCCAGGAACACAGTGCCAGCAGAGTATGCTCACATCTTGAGGGGTGGGAATGTGACAGCACAGACAGCTCTTTGGGGAATAAACAAGGCTAGATCTCAAGACTGAAATAATCATAGTCTTTTACAGGCAGGCAGATCAAAGTTTTTGTTGAGCAAGGAGAGCTTTGGCTACCAAAGTAGGAGACATCAAAAGAGGACTCATCTTGTTGCTATGACGTCGGTTGTGCATTTAGATTCCCAGCTAACTTGGTAGGTCTGCTTTTTTTATTTCAGTCCCAGTCCTGTGTAAATCTACCTCCATAGAAGTGAACATCCCTAAGGATCTTGTTGGAGGGCTGGATCTCTCACTCATCAATGGTTCCTGCAAAGGAGTATCCAATGGCACTCATGTCAACATCAGGTTCTCCCTGAAGACCTGTGGTACCAACATAGAGGTAGGTACCATTATTAGCTTTTCTTATCAGCTGAAGACATCTCCCTCCCTCCCTCCCCTTGTCTCATATGCACCTCTCCTTATGTCACTGCCATCCTAAGCAGAGTTACACCCTTCTAAACCCATTGTTTTCAATTGACTTAGGAGGATGCAACTTTGCTTATGGTGGTACTATAGAAATACACTCAAGCACATATCTGTATTATAAAATTATATTGGGCTTATATCAGTTCAACTATCGTGGCTTTATCTGAAGAGTCCTTGAAAATGTGGTTTGGTGTTGACAATGAAATGCATTTTCTCTTGGAGAGCCCTAGAGTGCCCCTATTTCCCAAACTACAATCCCCTTGCCTTCCCCATTGCAAGTAAAAGGTAAAGGATTCCCTTGCACGAAAGCTAGTCAAATCCGACTCTAGAGGGCAGTGCTCATCTCCATTTCCAAGCCGAAGAGCCAGCAGTGTCCGAAGACGTTTCTATGGTCATGTGGCAAGCATGACTAAACGCCAGACCACACGGAACGCTGTTACCTTCCCACCAAAGTGGTACCTATTTATCTACCTGCAATTTCTTGCTTTAGAACTACTAGGTTGGCAGGAGCCGGGGCCAGAGATGGGAGCTCACTCCATCACATGGCACTAGGGTCTCAAACTGCCGAACTACAGACCCAGTCTGCAGCTCAGTGTCTTAACTTCTGAGCCATCACGGCCCCTTCCCCATGGCAAGGGAATCTCTCTATAATATAATTCTGTTTTGGTCGTGGACTCTCCTGAACATTCCACACGCTCCCTAATCAGTTGGCTGAATTATCTGTCACTCAGAACGTGTCCCTAGCCATTGCCTGAGTCGCACCCAGCCGCATTGCCTGAGTCGCACCCAGCCGCAAGAGTACTCGTGTGCTATTGGCTGGGGGCTGGGTTTGCTCCTCTTCCCCGCCTACTCCTTCAGCCTCTGTGCCCTGTCAGAAGTTGTGGCAGATGGCTTTCTCTCTTGACAAAGACACTTGCCTCCTGTGTGAGACTAACTTTTTCCCTCAGTAGCTGTTGGTAGGTGTAATGAAATGGCAGTTACCTGTGTCTGTAAGATGGCTGCCATCTGTGTGTTTAAAATATTCCTCTAGAAGGTTTAATTGAGCTGTAGTTCCAGAGAGGGGCCTGCAGGAGTATCACTCACTAGGTTGAATGGGGCTTCCTCATCTGCTGGACTACAGTTCCCAGCTGCACCAAGGCCAAAAAGTGCGGGAAAAGAGGGACCATCCCAAGGGGCGGGGCAGCATCAATATAGACTCCAGCTAGGCCACAAGCCAGAGACGTGGGAGAACCCTGGGAGGCAGCAGAAATCCAGCCACTTCACAGTCGGCTGGGGATTTGAGGGGTGGAGCCTGGAGAGGGTAGGGTTTGAGGAGGGGTTGGACCTCAGACAGGTACAATGCCATAGACTCCACCCTCCAAACCAGCCATTTTCTCCTAAGTAACAATTGTTGCCAATCTCCAGTTGAGGGCTGGAGAACACTCAAAATCACAACTGCTCTTCAGGTAGCAGAGATCAGTTCCTCTGGAGAAAATGGTGGACTCTGTGTCATTATACCCTGCTGAGGTCGCCACAGCAAATTGACGCTGAATGTCCAAGGCCTTGGCACTCTCCCAGAGTCCAGAGCTGTTGTATTTATTTCCACAACGGGCCTTTCTTCCTAGTTACTAATAAACCTGTTTAAGTCATCCAATGTTGATATGTGGTGCTTCTCCTACCATCAGCCACTACATAGCCACATTCATAACGAGTCTTTGAACTCCTCTCATTCTCAAGGATGAATGCTGGAGCAAGGAAAGATATGAGCAAGTCTAGGGCATTATATGATACCAGACTGTTGAGTAGCTGCTGCCTTGGGCAAGGCCATATGACATATTCCAAATAAGGGCTTCTGGCAGCTCCATGACCTGGCCTTGCATGCCTCTTCTTGGGAGGCAATTCCCCCCCATCAAGTCACAGCTGATTTATGGTGACCCTGTGGGGTTTTCAAGGCAAGAGATGTTCAGAGGTGGTTTGCCATTGCCTGCCTCTGCATCACAACCCTGGTATTCTTTGGAGGTCTCCCATCCAAATACTAGCCAGGGTTGACCCTGCTTAGCTTCCCAGATCTGCAAGATTGGGCTAGCCTGCCTGGGCTATCCAGATCAGGACATGGGAGGCAATAGGCTTGTTTAATCATGGCCCTTTTAGGAGGCAGTTACAGGCATCCAGCAAGGGGGTGGGATGGGGAGGCTGTTCCAGTTGGGCAGGCCAGGCCAGTCATGTCCCAAAGGCAAGCTTGCTTTGAGTTAGCTTGGCAAAGCCTCCACATTTGTCCTTGTTTCTGCTTGGATTTAGTGCTTCATTTCACCGTAGCCAGGTGTTAGTCCCAACCCGTGTTCCCAGGACTGCTTTCATGCTTGAATTGCCTACAATTAGTGCATTGTTCATGCCAAAGAGAAAGTGAAGGAATGCCATTGTTGATGTGGCCAAACATTGTGCCCAATGTAGGTCTCAAATGCGTATGACAAAGCCAGTTGAATCAAGAGCCAATTGAAGTCTGATATACAACAACCTATCTAGCCTTCCTTCAGCCTTCCTTCAGCTTAGGGACAATGAAATTGGAAAGGAAAGTGATGCGATCAGGAAACGAGAGTGGCTACAGTGCTAGAATGCTGCATTTTGCGAATTATGAACATTGGAAAGCTGCACTTTCAAATAGCTAGAAATCTGTACCCTGTAACATCGGTAGAATGGAACATACTACACAAGAATGGCTCGTAGAAATTAACAACTGGTACACAATAAGTGAAAATGTGTCATTCCATACATCCAGGCTTTAGAGGTGCTACTGTTACGATGTTTATTGTTTGGATGTTACATTCTACACTCCAGTTTCCATTATGGTGGTTTTGTTCTCTTGTCTCCTTCACTTTGGTTGTAGCACAGACTGCATGAGCTGCCCTTCAGAATATTAAAATTCTTTGCCCAGGCAAGCCAAATTTTGCTACAGAAAAAACTAGATTCTGTGACCTATGTATAAATTATACAAATTGAGCTAATGTGTATAATTTGCCTTATCTTGCACAATTTGTTCTGTAATTGTGTGCCTATTGCATTTCTTTCCTATTGAGAGCTTCTTCCAAGGAGTTCAGGGTTTGTGTACAGTGCTCCCCTCCACCATTTTCCCCTTGCAACAACCCTGGGAGTCGGAGAGAGTGTGATTGGCCCCAGATCATGAATTTCATGGCAGAGTAGGGATTCAAACCTGGGCCTCCCTGCTCCTGTTCCAACACTCGGGCCATTCATTATCTGTGGTGTTTGGTATCTGGGAGACCCGGCTGGAAACTTCCCACTCTGCCAAGGAAGCCTGCTGGGGGCTTTTGAGCCAGCCTCCTTCACAGGGTTCATGCAAGAATAAAATGGAGGAGAAAAAGACAGCATGAGCTGCTTTTGGTCCCCATTGTGGAGACAATATCGATTTTTACTAATATGGATTGTTTAGTCTTGTTTTGCTAGTCATAGAAAGCCATGAAGGATACTAAAGCCCCAGACAACAGCCCCTGGAAATATTATTCAAACCTCTCTCAAATGTTCAACCCACACACTTTCAAGAATATCTTTGCAATCATAAAAACCACAAATGCTTTAATAAAAAAATTCGGGATTCCTAGGTATTGCATTCTGCCTTTTTCCTGCACTCTTCAAGATTCATAATACGCAGATTGCCCCGCTTATGGTATCTCTAGTATCTCCTGACATATCCTTTTGCTTTCTCTGTCCAATTGTTGTCACAATGTTTTCTTCTTTCTCCTCACTGTATGATACAGGTAGTAAATGACAAAATCATCGCTACCAATATGATAACTGGCTTGCCAAAGCAAACTCCGGGCAGTAATGGTGACATTATCGTCCGAACTGGCAAACTGTTGATCCCTGTAACTTGTGAGTACCCTCGCTGGTACACCATCTCAGAAGGCTATGTCCCCAATGTTAAGAACTCACCACTGGAGATTGTGGGTCGCAACCGAGGCGTCTTCCCCTTCACCCTTGAAATATTCAAAGACAAAGAGTTTGAAGAGCCCTACAGGGATACCCTCCCCACTCTTAAACTCCGAGATTCTTTGTATTTTGGGATTGAGCCCTTGGTGCGCGTGAACGGCCTCGAGACATTGGTGGAGAGCTGCTTTGCGACCCCTACGGCCAGGATTGATGAGTTCTTGAAGTACTACTTAATTCGAGAAGGGTAAGTGTCACGGCTGTTCCCCCTTCATTTATCTGATGCCAGGGTTTTTGTTGCTGTTTAGGTCACCCAAAATACAGAGGATTCGTAAAGTGCCAGCTCTTTCCCAAGGGCAAATGGCTTTTGGCAGGCAGGAAAGGGGGAGACTGCCAGTCACAACAATCACCAGCTGTCAGAAGCTACCCAGGCAAAGCTACCCACTTCACTTAAAAAGACCTAGAGGGGGCCATCGGGTGAGCAAACAAGTGACTTAAACACCAGCATTTTCCAGAGGGAAGCTCTCCCTCCAATTATGACGGCTGATAATTAATTTGGCTTCCATGCTAAAAGCCATGTGGTCTTCTGTGTTGGCCAGCTGTTGACCCACCACTGGAGTGTATTTAACCAATTAGCACAATTGTGTTTTTCAGTGGTTGCATTGCCCTGGTTGTTGTTGTTATTCAGTCGCACAGTCGAGTCCAACTCTTCGCAACCCCATGGACCCCATGGACCACATCATGCCAGGCCCTGGTAGGAAGTCTTATATGGCTTCAGGTGAAGCACGGAACTTTTGCCCACGCAAAACATTTTTATTTTATAGGCCAAGCATTATTGACTAGGGCTACAAAAAAATAACCTGGTCTTCTTCTAGACCCCTTTAAAACCATATACACGTATCCACACACCATTAAAACAAATTCCTCTTGGAAAAGGACCAATATGCTTGAATCAAATATGTAAGTCCATAGGTCCTGTAGACCTGAAAAATTACATTTTAATTACAATAGCAATCATGGTAGTGAAAGGTTTTCAACCACAATCTTTCCCACATCTCTGTATCTCTGAGACTCAGGGTCAAACTACATCTTGCAATTTATAGTATGAAGTGTCTTGGGTTCCCCCAGCCTGACCATGGCTGAGACACAATCAAAGGTAAGATGTAAGAGAACCCATTTGCCAAGTACTAAATCAGGGGATTTGGATCGGGACCACAGCACGTTGGGGAGAAGGCACTTCAGTCTCCCCACTGTACCATTTTCCCAACTCCAAACAGCCCCGGGGGAGTGTTATTTGCCCCACTGCATGTGTAGCCTTAGGGGAAAGGTGCAGGGGAGAGACTGAAGTCACTTCTCACCCTCCCACACACACACACACACACACACACACACCATGGTCTTGATCCAAATTGCACCCTGTGCACTTGCAAAATGGGTTCCCCCTTACCAGACATGTTTGACTCTCAGCCAACACTGTTAGTCTATACAAGTCCTTTACCCTATTCTTTCAAACCTCTTTAGAAAGCAGCTCCTTTCAAACCTTGGGGCCATTTCAAGCATCATAATCTTTACCCCAGAAATTGCCAAAACGCAAATCTCTCCAGCGCTGATTAGGGCAGCAGAAAGAGTTTGTGACTAATCCTGTCTTTTGTAAAAGAAGCCACTCTTTCATATTGCCAATGAAATCAATCTGAATTGGAGCAAAAATGAAATTGGCTATAGGGCATAAGGTTAGAGTTTTTAAGAAACTCACATCAATGTTACTGAACTGAAAACTGTGTTTTATTGCCTGAATGGCTATCCAAAAAATGGATATGGTTAAACCAAGATAGTTGGATTTAATTTCTTCTATAGAAGTTGACCACACTCAGTCTCCAAAGGGGATCTTGCTTCAAACCCTTAAGCACTTGAGAACTTCTGAACTGTTATTTATTATAGCTTGGATAGGTTTTGACACTGAGGCTATCCATATTCATGTTGGCAGTAAAAAGTACATTAAGGTCAGTATGGTATACGTCCCATCATATCTAAAGTAGCCTCCATATTGCCGTGTTTAGATGCCCCCTAGAGGACAAAAGCAGCCAAGGGGCTCCTGTAAATACGTCCTCAGAAGATGTAAGAAGCATTTAATATGTGGAACTGCCTAAGGGCATTCTTGTCAAGATGCTGCATTGAAGATCCCAGTGCTTCTTTTCACATCTGTCATTCCTGATGTTATTTGTAATGCCCACAGTCATCTGGGATATTCATAACTGCAGAAGACTGGAGACCAAAAGCATCCTAGGTTTGACTGCTGAAAGGCTCCCTAGGCTTGAGCGATGAGGGATATTTAAAACACAAATGTGTTCTGCAGTCCTTGGGCCAAGCTGAAATCAGCTGTGATTTAGTAATGTTGGCAGAAGGCTGACTGGTTCAGGAAGAGTTTGATTAAAAGCCATTAAACTCATTGTCACAAATGTACCCTTTGCTTATGCAAAATGGCATCTACTCCCTCTAGGTCGGTAGTATATCTTAGCACTGGATGGTGAACAAAAGACTTAAAGGCCTTTGATGGCCGGTGATGACGCCAGACGTGCTGCTGTTTGTATTGTACTCCTGCTTGTTTTGATGGGGGACTGAAAGACAGAGATTCTGCATTCTTTAGAATAAGATCAGAAGAAGAAGAAGAAGTATTGGAGGTTACACAGCTTGCTGGAAAAGAGGCTTCTGGTTCTTGTAAGGATGGGGGTTGGGTATTGGGGAGCAGGATTTCTTGGGTAGTTGTACTTAGGGATGGTTATAGCTGGCATCTGTTCAAGGGTACTTTTGTAAACAATCCCCCCCAGGATTAACAAAATTTGGAACAATACCACGCAGTCCCCAGCATCATCTGTACCAAATCAAAAACTGGAAATTTGAGTGCTGTGGCAAGGAATGGGCACGAATCTAAATTCATAATCAAAATTGCCTGGTTCGTGAGGTGAGGGTCATGTGAACTTCCCCATGGACCTCCATGGTTTTCATGAAGGTTTTCATGAAGGTTCGTGTAGTTCATGTTGGTGGTTTGTGTTCGCCGTGTGATTGCCCATAATGTGATCGCTCATAATAGGCAGATGTTCGCTGTGTGATTGCCCATAAGTACACCGATTCCAACCGGTATCTATACCGGCATAAATGCCCTGTCTGAACGCACCCATTAAGCCAAATAAAATGCACTGTGTGGCCAACCACCATCGCCTTGATAAACCAACTGGTTTTTGCTGTCTCATGGCAGGGCTGGCCCAAGGGTTTTGGGACCCCTTGGTGGTGCATGACTTTAGACAGACAGGCAGATAAAGGTTGGCTGATGGAAACTTCCAGGATATTTTAGGGATGAAGCCTGCTGAGGTGGGGGTCTGAGGAGGAGGAGGAAGAGGGGGACCTCAGACAGATACAATGCCATACTGCCCACACTCCAGACAAGCTGTTGCCAGTCTCCAGGTGGCAGCTGGAGAGATCTTAAAGCTCTGGTGCTAATTCAAATTGTTGCGAGTAGTGTTCTGGAAAATCTTTAGGAATTGTTTGGTGCATTTACGATGGGGCTCCTGGGGAACTATTGCTGCCAATCTTGGCCCAGCAGCCATCAAACCATTCTCTTCAACCCCCTGCTGTGCAGCTGACTTTCCCCTAGGGTTGCCAATCTCCAGGTGGGACCTGGAGATCTCCCACTGTTACAATTGATCTCCAGATGACAGAGATCAGTTCCCCTGGAGACAATGGATGCTTTGGAGGGTAGACCCTATGACCTCCAGTCGCTGGCGTCCTTCCACCCCCCCGCTCAATGCTGCCCTCTACAGAATCCACCCCCCAAACCTCCAGGTATTTCCCTCCTTAGAGCTGGCAACCCTACATTCCCCTCAGTGCCTGTTGGGAGTGGGTGGTGGGGGAGGGGAAGGGAGTGGGCGACCGGAGGCTTCTGCCTCCTGTCTCCAGTCCTGGAGTGTGGGGGGTGGAAACGGACACGGCAGCCGGAGGCTTGCACCTCCAGTCGCCGGCCCTGGAGTGGGTGGGGTTGGGTGGGGG